GCAGATCAGCAACAGGTGAGTTATTATCACAGGTGTGGCTGGCTCCAAGGCAGGGACTCTCCAGACCTGGTGGGGCAGCAAAACTGACACAACAACACACAGGGAAACGAGGAACGAGGAGCAGATCACACCACAACCATAAACGATTAAGAAAGACAAATAAAACTCATAATATTCTCAAAAAAATACTCAAAAAAGAACACATGATCCCTGGGTCACAGAGCCAGGCCCATGACAAATGGATTGCATTCATATAGCGCTTTATGAGACCCTCAAAGCGCTTAAAAAAATTCCACTTTATAATTCTCCTCTGGCCATCACCAGTAGGTGTTAGGTGAAGTGTCTTGCCCAAGGACACAACGACCGAGAGTGTCCCAGCCGGGGCTCGAACCGGCCACCTTCTGATTACAAGGCGAACTGCGAACTCTTGAGCCACGATCGCCTTAAATAGCAATAATAATAATAATTATTTGATTTAAAAAAAATTTATAAGAATCATTTTATATATTTTTCCATAGCATTACATTTGAATTTAACAGTTCAATCTTTCAAATAACAGACAAATATTTGTGAAATTATGATGCATTTGTGAATGTATTTTAACATACAAATAATATGCATATGTACAGACAAATACATTTAAAAAACAAGAAAGTTATGTTATATTACATTTACAGTGATTTTACGTTAATTTACATTTGAAATTTAAAATCACAGTCTATTTATGTGAATTTGATGATATTCTGGAAGAACAGTACAAAACTGTAAAATACACAGTTAAATACTTTTATATTACAATTTTCTTTTACAGTGTAGTTAAGGCCTGGATCCAACTATTGATATGTGCTAGTTAGAATTATTACGCTCTTGATTTTCTCTGGCTGTCTCTTTTCTGCTCTGTCCTCCTAACACATCATCCTTCGTGGAACATTAAGATTCATATGTGGGTCACAGCCAGGAGGACAGAGGTGATGTAGAGACAAGGTAGAGGACTCTCTTACTTTTGTTAACAATAAATTAACATTTAACTCATTTGTAGGAATGCAATCACATTCAGCTGTTACATGTAGGTGGAACTAGACTCTTTGCATTTAGTTTCACATGGTTGTTTTGGAAATGACCTGATTATGGAGTTTGGTGTCAGAGAGTGTGCAGCAGACTGACAGGAGCAGCTGTGTGTGTGTGTGCGCATTCTTCCTTAAATAGACTTCCTTCCTTTTCTCAAGCTTGATGTCCGTCTCTCTGTCAGTGCCAGATAAACAGCCGCTTGTTTATGCCATGATTTTGCCAATAGGCATTGATCCTTCTGCTCTGCGTTGCTGAAACATGTCCAGATGTGAGGTAGGATATCAAAGTGTCTGTAATGGGTTTTTTCTTCAAGTATTGTGTCATTTCTCATTATTACACATAATCTATGGACATCTGTGGTTTGATTTCTTTGCATGTGAGGATTGGATGGGTTGTTACCAACATCAGGTGATAATTTCATGTCAGCAGCACCTTCAGAAATATATTTACTTAAAAAATTGGTGACACGTGCAATGCGATCTTGCCCACTGTGTGTGGATTTTAAATCTGTTTCTAACCTACAGGAGGCAAGAAATGCAACTGACTGGTCCCAGAGACGAGAGTGGACATTTAAGAAACTTCTGAACAGCAGAAAAACATCTGGACAGACACTGGAAAAACAGCTGTCTTCAACCTTGATCACATCTGTTGATCTGAGGCCTGTTAGGAAAAAAAGATACCTGAACATCACATCACAACATCTGTATTGTAGAAATTAATTTGAAACATTAGAACAACACCTAGACAAGAGGTTCTGGCCTCTGAACACAATCACATGTAATATCTGTCCCACAGCAGAGAAACATGTGGTTTCATCACCACACAGCTGGTTGAGTTTTTGAAAACTAATCAGCTGTGTTCTCTGAACTCTGTGAACAAGGAACGTGGGAGATGGGAGGAATAGTGTGTACAGAAGAGATGAAGGAGGAGAAGAGGAGGAGCGAAGGGAGGGAAGACAGTTTGGCATCAGCAGACAGAATACGAAGATTCACCGTCAAACAGTTTGGATACAATGTTCTGAGCCTGGCTCGCCGAGGTCTGAAGGTATGACAGCAACACCTGCTTTTACAGTGGGGCAAAAAAGTATTTAGTCAGCCACCGATTGTGCAAGTTCCCCCACTTAAAATGATGACAGAGGTCAGTAATTTGCACCAGA